AGATCTGCAAAAGGAGGTCCAGGATGTCATGGCTGCAATGGATGAACAGTCGCAGGAAATCTCGCGGCTCAAAGAGGAGCTAAACACTTCGCAACAGTATAGCCGACGTTGCAACATGGAAATTCATGGTCTCCCTTACTTTTCTGGTGAAGATCTGCCTAAGATCGCAGAAGATCTTGCTCGAAAATTAAGCATATCATCATTTAAATCCTGCGACATTGCTGCTATCCATCGTCTACCACAAAAACGGGATTCACTCTCACCGGTATTGATTCAGTTCATATCTGTGACTTCCAAAGAGGCCTGGATGGCTGCACGGGGCCGGTTACAGAGGTTGTACCAGTCTGAAAATGGAACGAGGCTATTCTTCAACGATAACCTTACCCAGAGAAACAAAGAACTCTTCTGGCTGGCAAGAAATAAAGGCAAAGAACTTGGGTACAAATTCGTGTGGCTGAAAAACTCAAAAATATACGCGCGAAAGAGCGAAGGTTCACCGGTTGTGCGCATCAACGCAGTGAAGGACTTAGAAAAGCTTACTTGAGGAACGATGAGTTATTCTTCGGTTCCAGACTGCCAATCTTTTGTGCAGATGTCGAGACCTCCCTCGGAAGTCTCCCTAACGGTTATTCATGTGAATATTAGGAGCGCACGGAAACACTGGGACGAGTTCACAGTTTCCACTAACAACTTACAACCGCCAGTTGACGTATTCATTCTTACAGAAATCAGCATTTCAACTTTTCAATGCGATCAGTTTGCTTTAAATGGCTACACGAGGCATTTCTACACCCGCGATAAGGGCAGAGGTGGAGGTATTGCTATTTACGTTAGGGAAAAGTGGCTCACGACCAGCCTAACTGTGTCTTTTGTTCATGCGGAGTCTCTTGCTCTTAACATTTACCTCTCGGGTTTTTTGTTGGTTTTATTAGGTGTATACAGGCCTCCGTCAGAAAATGCTTCACTTTTCCTTGCGGAGCCAGAAGACGTACTTAAGCAGTTTCGCTCTAAAGAACAATTTCGCCTGATAGGTGACTTCAATATTGATACCCTCAAGCCGACCAAATCTATAGTATGCGATTATTTAAATCTGTTGTCTGAATATGGAATTCATAATGTTATCACTCTACCAACAAGAGAAGAGCTGTTGTCTGGAAAGCTGGTGGTGTCCTGCATCGACCATATAAACGTACGGGCTCCCGATTCCACAATAAAGTCTGCTGTCATCACACGCAAGTTAGCCGACCACTACTTTGTCGGCTGTCGATTAGATAAGTAGACGGCAGGGAATCAAAATAGCACACCAGCAAGTTCGTTTGTTTCGATTACTGATACAGCAAAATTTGATGCCTTCGTGTCTGCCTTCGACTGGGATAGATTTCTAGACTCTGTTGAGCCCGCGAATGTTTATACGTACTTTGTCAAAGTTTTTCAGATGTTTTATCGTGACTCGAGGAAGGTTGTTCATTTCAAGAAACGGTCAGATAAACCTTGGATTACCCCTGATATTATGGCTGCAGTCAAAAATAAGGATGCCACGTGGCTACGCTCCCGCCGTGCTCCAAACAACCCAAACTTGAGGGCAGAGTATCAAAGGGCAAGGAACAGAGCGAACGCGATGATAAGATCAGCTAAGCGTCGTTACTTTCAAAAGAGGTTCTTTGAGTCAAGATCAAAGCCACGCGTAACATGGGAGTTGATTAACTCATTCAAAGGGCATGCTGCAAAAAATCGCTTTACGACCACTTACGAAAGCATTTCGGCCCAAACTTACAGACGGTTGTCAACGACTTCAATGATCTTTTTGCAGCCTCGTCAGGTGTTACTAGAGATGAGGGGCTCACGTTTTTCCCACAAGTTCATAGGGTGTCGGCATCAGCGTTTTTACCTCACCTTCATTTAGCTGCATTGCGCGGAATTCTTTTTTCAATAAAGCGCAACAAAGCGCCAGGTGCTGATGGAAATTCGTGTTACCGACCTATGCCGTACTTTTGAGCACATTCAGCATGTTCTCCTTACAACGATAAATGGATTTTTGATAACTGGGTTGATACCCGCGAGCTTGAAAACCGCCCTTGTTAAACCAATTTTCAAGGGAGGATCACCTAATAAACTAGAATGCTATCGTCCTATTTCTATCGTGCCCTGCATCGAGGAGATACTAGAAAAACATCTCTACATTGTAATGTCCGCTTATATTGAGAGTTTTGACATACTGTCACGCAGCCAATATGGGTTTATAACTGGCAGGGGCACGCAGTCATTGCTTGAAGATTTTTCAGACCTATATTACATCGGGGATTTGACCGTAACCTCTCTTCTTGTGCTATTTTTTTTGGATGTGGCTAAAGCGTTTGACACGGTCAGCCACAAAGTGTTGCTTCATAAACTTAACAAGTACGGCTTCCGCGGTCCCTTTTTTAGCATACTGCAAAGTTTTTTCTCTGAACGTTCCCAAATTGTGTCGGTAGGAAATTTCAAAAGTACTCGAGTAAGGCTCAAAGCTGGTGTCCCACAAGGTTCGGTTTTGTCTCCTTTGTTGTTTAATCTCTATGTTAATGATATCTCACTAAGACTTTATTCCTGCAAAATGTTTCAGTACGCTGATGACACTGTGTTAGTCTCTAGTCACCTTGATTTTGATCACTCTGTACGGTTATTGCAGCATGACATAGAACGAGTAATGGACTGGTTTTCTGATAATTTATTCACGGTTAATGCAGCTAAAACAAAACTTGTCTGCTTCCGAAATCCTTTGATGCGTACGTCTCTTGATACGTCGGTTGCTCTGCATAGGTCTAATTGTCGAGACTGTGAGTGCCCCACTTTAGATTTCGTCAGTAGCGTCCAGTACTTAAGCGTACTTTTTGATTCTGACATGTCTTGGGCAACACACTTGTCGCAGGTCAGTGGCAAACTTCGAACTGTTAGTTGTTTATTTTTCAACAACCGTATTTTTATGTCATTTGCTGTCCGACGATCTATCGCTCATGCGCTGGCTTATAGTGTACTTAGATACGGTATAACGTTATTTGGTAATTGTGCAGAACTCTGGCAGAATAAAGTAGACCGCATTTTGAAAGGTTTATTGAAAAGTGTTGCATATCACCTTGCTTTTCCCGTGAATAGTGACATATTTGAAGTTGTACAAAGGCCGAGTTTCCGCTCACTATTCTTAGAGTGTGTCGTGCTTCGCCACTTCTGGTGTAATGATTTTAAACATCCACTTGTAGCACGTAGGGAGCTTCGCAGCTCAAATCGTTTCGAGACGCCTCATTGTTATACCAGATACGGTAAGCGAGAGCGTGCTTACTATGTACCTTTCATTTTAGAGCGCAGCTCTTAGGGGCCCGTTCCCGGCTTGAGCGGCGTCGGCGTCGCCGTCGCCGTCGGCGTCGGCGTAACCAAGGTCATCCCAAGGTCACGTGACCCCTCCCAAGGTCATCTCAAGGTCACGTGACCCCCAAGGTCACGTGGGGTCATCTTGGGATCACGTGACCCCCAAGGTCACGTGACCCCTCCCAAGGTCATCTCAAGGTCACGTGACCCCAAGATGACCCCACGTGACCCTTTGAAGGTCACGTGACCCCCAAATCACGTGACCCCTTTGAGGTCACGTGGTCTCCTCCCCAAGGTCACGTGACCCCTGAGGTCACGTGGGGGTCACCTTGGGGGTCACGTGACCTTGAGGTGACCCCATGTGATACCCAAGGTCACGTGACCCCCAGGTCACGCCTCCCCGAGCTCACGTGACCCCCCTCCCCGAAGTCACGTGACCCCCCCCCCCCCCCCCGAGGTCACGTGACCCCCCCCCGGAGCATATTAAAGAATGAGGGGAGGAGGAGGAGAAGGAGGAGGGGTCTACCCTCCCCTCAGTACCCTTCACTCCTCCTCCTCAAGAGCTGCGCTCCAACTCGGCGTTACAGGGAGTTGTAAACGGCTTTCACTTTTTTAACAAACTTCCCGATTTCTTCTTCCAAGCTACCACAAAAAGGAGACTGAAAAAGCTGCTAACTAATATGCCAATCTAGGTCCGCTGCATGGGCTTTTGCTACATCCTGACGACGTGTATTGGAGTGTAATACTGTATATCATGTTGTTGTTATTTATTGTTGTTGTTTAACATATGATGTGACTTCGTTATTATTGTTGGAATGTGTATGTTACTGAACTTTTTCTTTCTTTGTATTTCGCCGCTTGACTGCCGGGTCCTGTCCTTCAAGCCTCCTATTGGCTTCGACAGACCCGTCTCTGTATCTTGTTTCAACTTCAAATGATTGAATAAAGAATTATTATTATTATTATTATTATTATTATTATTTATGTAATCTATTATTAATTTTTTAAATTAATTTTTTTTATTTTTAAATAAATAAATTTGAAATTTCTTTATTTTATTAAAAATAATAAAGAATTGTTAATATAAATTTTGTAATTTAAAATCTTTATTCGATGACCTTTAACTTGTCTGCTAAATGGTTTAACGGGGAGTTAGGCGACCTCATCTTACGGGCTCAAGGATCGACATCCAGTCGTGGCTTCTGATTTACTGCTTCGAAAATCGCGACTGCAGCCCCGTTCATCACCGCCATTACTGTACATCGACCATTCAGTCAGCAGTCGCTGCCCATGCCCATCCGCGACGTTCGGCGACTTTCTGCGACTCAACATGAACCCTGGGCCAATCAGCGAACATCCACGGACGAGCCTTGCCGGTAACCGACCATCAGTGCTTTGAGGAGTTCAATTTTCTCGGGGACCGTGCCAAGCTGCTCTTGCTATACTGTTTCGCTGGTGCAACCTGCCTAGGTGTGTTTACAGCACTTACATTTTTTCTACCTATTTTATTGCCATTTAATTCGACGATTATGTCCCTTGTTTGCGACGCTTGCCAAAAAGGCATTTTGCCTGATGGTAGACTCATGACATGCTCAGTTTGCGAGCATAACTATCATCTCGGGAAAACGTGTTCCGGCATTGCTGAGTCCACGTTTACTGCCATGAGCCCCGACAAAAAAGAAAAATGGAGGTGCAAGGTTTGCCGTTCTAAGAACAATCGTGCTGATATAGACGGGGTCGATGCTAGCTCTGACTCGATTTCGTCCTGCGAAACCACGACACTCGCGGCGCAAATCCTGACCATCAAAGAAAAGCTAGATTCAATACTTTCTCTGAAGGCTAGCGTAAATTTACTGCTCGAGCTTCCGGCAAAGGTGAATGAGCTCTTGCTCCTCAAGCCTACCATTGATCTCATGAAAGTGACTTTGGAGGAGGTTCAAACTTCCATTTCCTTCCTAGGAAAGAAATACGATAGCCTCCTCGCCACGGTGTCTGCTCATGCGACCGACATGAACGAGCTGCGTACGGAAGTGGCTTCACTGAAGGACACGGTTTGCGAACAGGCACACACTATCCAAAGCCTCCAAACCGAGATGAACGACGCTGACCAACGCGGTCGCCAACATATTATGGAAATTCATGGAATGACCGTCAAACCCGACGAGGCTCTCCCTTCCATCTTAGCGGGGCTGGCAGACAAGCTAGGAATTCCGGGACATCAACCAGCTGATGTCGTGTCGGTTTTCAGGCTACCAGGCAAACGATCTATAAAACCACCTATTTTGGTCAAGTTTACATCTGTAGCCACTAAAGACAAATGGATGCAAGCTCGTAGCAAGCTCAGGCAATTTTCTCGTGACAATCCACCCGAAAGACTGTATTTCAACGACAGCTTAACTCAGACCAACAGAGAACTTTTCTGGCAGGCACGTGCTCTTGGAAAAAAACGCGGTTACAAATTTGTGTGGGTCCAAAATGCTCGAATTTATGCCAAAAAAGATGAGGGCGCTTCTCCGGTACGGACTCAGCAGAGAAGTGACCTGGACCTAATCACATAACCGACATGGCTAGTTTTTTACAGTACGCCGATTTTCTCTCGTTTAATAGCTCGTTTTCTTCTTCTTCAACCGACTCTTTCATGGTCTTACACATAAACATTCGCAGTGTTCGAAAATACTGGGATGAATTTAAGACAGTTGTTGATTAAATGCGGGACCAAATTGATGCAGTTGTGCTAACCGAAATCAATGTCAGTGCTGATCATCTGTCACAGTTTAATATTTTAGGATTTCCAAATTTCTTTTATACACGGCCAATTACTAGAGGAGGAGGAATCGGCGTACTTATAAAGAACTCAAGGTCAACAACTCAAACTGATGTCACATTTCAACACTCGGAGAGCTTGATGCTAAAGGTTTCTAATTGTAACTATACGGTTAGCTTGCTTGCACTTTACCGACCTCCTTCGTCCAACTGCTCTGGCTTCTTAGAGGAGCTGAGGGAAAATTTGAGCGAATTGTCTAATGAAGCACATTTATATTTGGTGGGAGATATCAACATTGACACCCTCAAAACTTCCAAAAATTGTGTTTGTGACTATTTATCACTACTTGCCGAGCATGGAATCATACCTACCATTCAGAGTGCGACCCGCGAAGGAGTATTAAATAAAATCTTGTATCATCCTGCCTAGATCATGTAAACGTACGAGCTCCAGATACTTCCATACACTCCGCTGTCATTTTACAAAAGCTTGCAGATCATTATTTTGTCGCATGTAAATGTGTTTTTCCCTCCAGAAAAGGTAAAAATTTCGAAAGTGCGTGTCGTTTAGAGCGGGTTGACTTCAAGACTTTTGATCGACTAGTTAAAGAATATGATTGGAATGAATTTCTGTCCTCGGTTAACGGCACGAACCTGTACTCAATGTTTGTAGACATCATTAGAAATTTCCGGGAGTTATCGACGACCGTTCTATATGTTAAAAAACGCAAACCCTCACTGCCCTGGCTCACCCCAGATATTCCTGAAGATATAAGTCACAAACAAAAACTGTGGAAGAAGTTTAGGAGGTGCCCCAACAATGTGTCTCTCGAACTAGAATGTAAGATGCAAAGAAATCGAGTCAATGCCCTCATTTGGTCAACGAAGAGAACCTATTTCGCTAAAAAAATATCGGACGCTCGTTCGGCCTCCGGGGAAACTTGGACTGTCGTCAATGAGCTTCGTGGCTATCTAAAAAAGAACGTAACTGAGACATTACGCAAACACTTTGGGACTGATTGGCGACTACTGTCAACGCGTTTAATAATTTTTTCGCTAACTCTATTAATGTGCCAATTGATAGCGCGGTGGATTCGACACCCGGAACTCCGTTTCAATTTGAATCTGCTTTCCTTCCTTCTCTCTCAGAAGCTGAGTTGCGGTCCTACCTGTTTGGATTCAAGCGATTCATGTCGGCGGGTGTAGACGGCCTTACAGTTAGAGACTTGTGTCGGAATTATGACTCTTTAAAAAGCGTGCTGCTCGTTCTTATAAATATTGTTATAGAAACTGGTAATGTGCCTGATGACTTAAAACAAGCCATAGTTGTTCCACGTTTCAAAGGTGGCGCACAAAACCAAGGGTCATCCTACAGGCCAATCTCAATACTATCTTGCAATTCACAGATATTAGAAAAACATATTTTTATTGTTCTGTCCGGTTTTCTCGACAAATACAATTTAATCTCGCCAAGTCAATACGGGTTTGTTGCTGGTCGTGGTACAATTAATCTCCTTGAGAAATTCTCAGATATTGTGCACTCTTCCTTCGACGATAACATGTATGTGTGTGCCCTCTTCGTTGATGTAGCCAAAGCGTTTGACCCCGTGAACCACAACATCCTCTTAGACAAACTCTATAGAATCGGCTTTCGGGGTCCATTTCATACATTGCTGAAGAGTTTTATTTCAAATCGTACACAGGTTGTCTCAGTAGACAATGTCCGCAGCTCTCAAGTTTTCCTTACTTCAGCCTGGAGTTCCCCAGGGCTCCATTCTTTCTGCTTTACTATTCAACCTCTACGTAAATGACATTTCTGCGGCAACGACAAATTCAACGATTTTTCAATATGCGGACGACACTCTTTTGTTTTCTCGGCAACTAGTCTACCGGCGTGCTATGGAAAGCTTCAGGCAGACGCGACCAAAATTATTCACTGGTTTTCGGCAAACAAGCTACGTGTAAATGCTTCGAATACAAAACTGATCTGCTTCCGTAATCCTTTAAAAAATGTCAGTTTGACTCTTCCACTATTCCTTCACAGCTCCAATTGTCCATGTTGTAATTGTAGACCTGTCGAATATGTTAGTTCAGTAAAGTACTTAGGTTTTCACTTTGTTTGTGATCTTACATGGGACACTCATATGTCTCACGCATGTCAACGGTTAAGGAGCGTGTCGTGCATGATGTACCACATTAAAAGTTTTATACCATTGTCAGTTAGAAGGAACATAATGCACGCCTTAGCCTACAGGTACTAAGGTACGGCATAACTGTCTTTTTCAATTGTTCACTTTCCTGGCATTTAAGAATTGACCGAGTTTTAAAAGGAATTCCAAAAAGTGTCGCATACAACAGCGACTTTTCATCCAATGCTAACCTCTTCGCTTCACTTGAGTTGCCGTCTTTTTACTCGCTTTTCCTTCAAACTGTCGTTTGGCGGCATTTCTGGGAAAGTGATTTCAAACTCGCGTCTACTCCATCTCGTGAACTCAGATCTGTTCCACGTTTCCTCACTCCTAGGGTGAGAACTCACTATGGTGAAAGTCTGCGCACATTTTATGTCCCGAAAATTTTTAATGGTCTTCCAGAATCTCTGCTTTCCATTAACTCAAACAAAATGTTGAAAAAATGTCTGAGAAGCATGTTCTCGGATGTGCGAAAACAGTTACCATCCATCTTCTTTTTTTCTACCTTAGTTTTATAAGGTAATCTTTTCAGTTCACTTTTTCGTTTACACGTTTTGAGCTATCATTAAAAACGTGGTTGTAAGATATATTTTGTACCTTACTAGGATTTTTTTCTTGATGAAAATATAAAAAAAACATGAAAACCTTTTTTTTATGAAAGTAATCGTGTAAGTAATTTTTCAGAGTAACTGTGACTGCGCATATCTTTCATTCTTTTCCTTTTGGAAAGTATAAAAAGCTTCTTCTTTCCTTAAAAGCAATTCTGCGAAAAAACGCACGCGTCCTTTTTTCTTCTTTTTTTTTTTTAGGAAGTAAGTTGGGCATTGGCAGTTCGCACCTGCTTCCGATACGACTACGGTCTTCATTGTATTCTCGGGCTACTGTATTTGCGTATGTGTGCGTTTCTTTTCTGATGAGACTACGTGTTTTCCTGCTCTTTTTCAAGACCGACAGAAATGTGAACTTGCGCCTAGAGCAGAAGATGTCATCGGTGTGTGATTCGTGTTTGTGCGTGTGTGTGTGTGAGTGTGTGTACGTGACAATGTGAAAATTTTCAATAAGCTTGCTGCAACTGCTGGGTCTAGTCCCACAAGCCCTTGAGGCTTTGACAAGACCTGGAACTTGATCCTGACTCTAAGCATTAGTTATTAAAGATTATTATTATTATTATTATTATTATTATTATTAGTATTATTATTATTATTATTCGCTTAAAAGAGTTATTATTATTATTATTAATATTATTATTATTATTATTCGCTTAAAAGAGTCATTTTAAACAAGCCAATACTTCTGCACGCTTCAAACTGTGCTTCTTGTGAATGTGTGCCAGTAGATTACGTGAACACTACAAAATACTTAGGAATTTATTTTGACTCAGATTTACCGTGGTACTCCCATCTTTTCTACATCATGAAGAAGCTGCGAGCAGCATCCTGCACTCTCTGCAATATAAGAACATTTATCACCATGTCAACCCGAAGACTCATTGTGCACGCACTCGTTTATAGTGTGCTTCGATATGGAATTACCTTGTTCGGGCAATCCACAAACCTATTTGAGACTAGAGTGAATACGCTCCTAAAGGGCATCTTACGTAGCGTGGCATATGGCTCCAATATTCAAACATCCGACAACATCGTTGATGATCTCTCTTTACCATCCTTTCGAGCCCTATTTCTGCATACCGTTATACTCCGACATTACTGGGATAATACCTTTAAGGTTCCCAACGTGGTTTTTCGTGACCTTCGGAAAGTGGCACCATATGCCACGCCGCGAATTAGTACTCATTTTGGGACATGCATTCGGAGTTATTATGTTCCAAACACCTTTAACAAACTCCCACCTGTGCTGAGTGACATTACTTGTCGTGGAAAGTTAAAACGAAAACTGAAGACTATGTGCTCGCCCATAGGAAAATAGCGTCAGCCTTCAAGACTTTTCGTAATGAGTTTGTACTGTGCAATTCGTCTTTAACGATATTTACCTTGTCGCGTCCCTGAATCTCTGTAACTTCTTTGTTCTGTTGTTTTTTTGTGTGTTTTTTGTTAGAGCGCAGCTCTTAAGGGCCCGTTCCCGGCTTCAGCGGCGTCGCCGTCGCCGTCGCCGTCGGCGTAACCAAGGTTACCCCAAGGTCACATGACCCCCAAGGTCACCCCAAGATCACGCGACCCCCAAGGTCACGTGACCCTTGCCCCAGAGCTCAGGTGACCCGTCCCCAGAGGTCACGTGACCCCTCCCCAAAGGTCACGTGACCCCTCCCCAGAGGTCACGCGACCCCCAAGACGTGACCCCCCAGGTCACGTGACCCACCTGAGGTCATGTGACCCTCGCAAGTCACGTGACCCCCCGAGGTCAAGTGACCCCCTGAGGTCACGTGACCCCCTGAGGTCACGTGACCCCCTGAGGTCACGTGACCCACCCGCCGAGGTCACCTGACCTCCCAGATGACGTCATCGGCATCCGCATCG